GCCACTCAATAGGAAAGTGACCTGTTAATGCAAATAAAGACTGCTGAGACTGTTTTTTTTTTTTTTTTTTAACTTCAAGGTCATGCACATATGTGCAAAGAGTCCTTTATGCCTGGTTCCCAGTATATGTGATGGAAACCAAACCACTTAGTTGCATCTTGCAGAACATTCCTCCATCTTCATACATGTATGCATGGCTTTCCAGTGAAACTTCTGGTTACTTGTTTAAAAGGTTGTATTATCTTCTGTTAAATAGGCAAAAAAATCAGTGCACTACACCTCTAGCTATTAAAACTGCACAGTATTTCAGCTTTACCTGTACATGTGTACAGATAGTGTTATCATCCAGTGTTATCAGATTTTGGTGTTTTGTTTTTTTTTTTTTTTTTTTTACAAGCTATGTAATCAGTAAAAAAGGATTTTTTGTTGCCCTTTAGGTGTCTTCGGTGAGAGCTCCCTTTGCCCTCACTCTTTGTAAACGTGGTAAGATACTTGAGCAGAAAGGGAAAGATTTTTTTATTAGATTCCTTAAGACATCAAGAATGAATGAACAGTCTTAAATTTGACAGAGCTATATGTTCAGTCATGCTTAACTGTGAAATGGAAAATTAATCAATTTCTTGAAATGGTGTAGCTGTTTAAGTGAATGTTCCCTTAAGTGCCATGTTAGAAATCAGCAATATGCGGTACAAGATATTTGAATCACAAAACATAAGTGATGTTATTTTCATAAAGATTGATGTAAAAAAAAAAAAAAACAACCACAAAAAACCTAAAAAATAAATTGTTTATTACTTTACAGCTTGCTCTGGTTTGTGTTTTGTTGTTGTTTTTCTTTTTATAACAGATGGAAATAACTACAGGTGCCAGCAGAACAAACCAGTAGTAAAGCTGGTGATTTTTGTCTGATGATGTGATTTGAGAGAGTCTCTATAGAGGAGCATATTTGCAGATTTGGCTTTGAAGCACGAAGATGTGAACTGTAGACATGTTGCATTGCAGGTGATGCTGACTGGGTAAACTTGTGAGTGGTGTCCTTAGTTTCTTGGGAGAGGAGATTAACTCTGCACGAGCATTCACAGGGAACAGACTTCCTCAGAAACATGTATTTATATATCTCCTGACACCAAAAGCCTCTTCAGTAGGCTTGGGCACCGATGTTCTGCTAAAGCCTTTGGTAGCCAAGTGCATCATTTCAGCTGCTTCAAAAATTTAACAAACTACTGAATTAATTTGGAAATCTAGCCTCAATGTCTGTTTTGTCAGGTATGATTTTTGCATTTTTGGAGTTACCTTGATTCCCTTAAGGAGGCTATCCAGTACCTCAACTACTCCGGATACAAAACTTAACAGGTAAGTGTTTGTGAGGGAGGACAAATAAAGAGTTAGATCGCTTTAATTGCATGTCCAAGCAGATCTTTTGTAGTAGAGGTGAATAGTGCACAGTTCCTGTCCTCTGGCTCTGCTACAGGATGGCAAACTGTTAAGAGTAGATATTGGCACAGTTGGAAATCTGTTCAAAGCGGTTGCAAAACAGGATAGAGAGCAGCAATTGAGGCAGAACATGACTGTGGCCTAAGGACCTCCCGTCCTGTACACTGAAAATTTAAGTCAAAGGAATAAACAGAAAACTCTGGGAAGAGAGTGCACAGGGAGCAATGTCCTCACTTGGACACTTGGCATATTTAGCTTGAGTAGGTTGTGTGGCCCTAGCAGCTGCTGGGGCCTGTTAAAGAACAGCTGAGGCTCCTGTTTCCTCCTTGGGACTGAGCTCGAGACATCTGTTCTCAATGGAACCACAACAAGGATGCGAGTGTGGTGGATGCGTAAAGCTGAGGTATATTGTTTGTGTGTTTCTTGGAAATACGTTATTTAACTTGGAAAGGGCAAACGCAGCTCTCCCGCTCTGAACTGACACCAAATACCTGCAGGGTCTCACTCTGTTCTGGGTGCTTCAGAGATGCAGAGAACACACTGAAGTCTGTTGATAATACAATATATCAGGTGTTCATTCTGCAGGGTTTTCAGAAGTGCTAAACATAGCTTCCTTATCTGCAGCTCCTTGACCTCACTGGAAGCAGAGACCATGTAGTGCCGAAGCTTTAAGAGTTCCCACACATGAAGTACATCCACTCAGATAATGCAAAGGAAGGGTGTGCTCTGCCTTGGACGTATTCCCCTTGGAAAATAAGGTAAAAGGTTCAATCACAAGAAAGTTAGTAGAGTGGTATTTTTATGATGATATTATGCTGTGGAAGCCATACTTCTCTACAGTTATACCCATCTGCAATGCTAGCTCTTCAGAGGATTGGACCAGAAAGTAAAATTTAGGACTATATACTGAGTGTGATATTAAAAATCTAAGCAGTTATTAAATGAGAAAGCTATCTATTCTCTACCCTAATTTAGTCTTGGGAGCTGTAAAGAGAAGTATTTAAAACATTCAACACTTGAATATACCTGGTAAATTAAGATGACTTTGACCTTAATTAAGATACTCCTAGCCTTGAGTAACTGTATCCTGCCTGTATGTTTCAAATGAGGTGCACCTTTTGTGTGTACAAAACAGTCTCATTTCTGCAGTGAGCTGCCTCTGAGACTTCAGGTTTGAGCTGATGAACTGACTCAGTGAAAGCACTGTGACTGGTGATTAAACTGAAATAAGCTAGCTACCTGTCCATATAAATGCAGGTGTTATTTTTCTGGTATTTAAGCCTGGGACTCCCCGTTTGGAACATAAGGTATGGACTTCCTAAATGACACTGGGAAATGCATGGCCAGAAGGTGCTGCAGCATTTGCTTGTGCTGCCTGCTTCAAACGCTACTCAGCTTTGAGTGTTCCTTCCCGTTCTTGTCCTGCATGCACATAAAGGCTTCTGCCCCGATTGCCAAAGATGTTACAAAGAAGCCTGAGTTAGTGTTTTAAGGGTGAACAATTAGAGAGTTGTAGAAAAGCAGCATCTTACTTAGAACCTGTGTTTTGGCTTGCAAACCCGATGGGTGTGGCATCGAGGATGAGATTCAACCTACCCTTGACTTTCTTGGAGACTTTACAGGGCTGGCCAGCAGAAAGTAAATTCAAATCAGGGTTATTCAGGATCTAGGGAGAGCTTGTTCTGATTTGAAAAGCAGCTGTGGCCTCTCAGGGCAAATGATGCTGTTTTGTCCCCTTCCTTGCATCAAGGAGCAAACAAAAGAGGCAGCCTTCCTTGTGTGCCCTTTCTGAGAATTTTGTAGGAGGATTGCTGGGACTTTCACGTGACCATATGACATGGTAGAACTAAAGGTGAGGAATGAAATATCTTTCTTTCCCTTTCAAAGGGTTCTGAGTTCTACCACTGCCCTTTGAAACCTTTACTATTGCTCCTATTTTCTGTCCTCCACCCTGTGTAATACCAGATGCAGCCACTTTTGTTTTGGAACAGGGAGAACTGGGTGCAACTCCTGGGCTGTGAACAGCACTCCCAGGGCAGGCAAGCAGGGGCACACAGCAGTCCCCTTGACTTGGAACAAGTCTGAAGCGAGGTTTCTTCTTAACTGTGATAATAAAAAGCACTGCATTTAGGCACTTGCCTAGTATAAAATTATTTTTAAATTCATCAATCTTTGCAACTTACTGCAATGGAAACAGCCTGCCTATTTATGTATGATAATTTGCCATAGTTTTGTGTTATCTTAACCATATAAAGAATTTGAAGTGAAGGCAGCCTGGCATTTATATTTGATTCTGAAGGTGTGAGCAATACCACATCATTTCTCATTAACAAATGTTGGCAAGTAACTTGCCCAGAAGAAACTTAAGGAGACCAAATAGTATTTATAGCAATTACTGTCTGCCAAATAAAGAGGGAGAAAGTCTAGTTTTACAGGTTTTGGGAATGTCTTTAAGACAGGAGAGTAAACAGACGAAGGATGTCAGTGTTGGTAGCCAACATTTGGTCTAGAGCAACTTGGAAAACAGTATTGCAGATGTTTGTTAGAGTAGTGCATATTAAGGAGTGGAAACCCGTGCCATTTTATCACAGTGGTTTCTTGAAACAACAAGGAATTTAATTGGGTAATGTAGAGTTTCAAATCACCCAATAAACAATATAGACTTGTATTTAGGCTTGTATAGAATATAGAACAAGGCTTATGGAAATTAAGTGCCTCTAATGAATTCACTCCTTCAGTCTTATTTCTTCGGTGTTTTCATATATCCTGAATCTACTAAAGCAGAAGGAATCAGGAGCAACCTCTGAGCTATTCCCTGATCAGCCAGGGAGAGCCGTGGTGGTCTGGAAGGCTTTGTGGTGACCAAGTGTGTCTCTACATCTCAACCGTGGGAATGGAGGGCTGTCACTTCTGGAGGACGGCCTGTGCCAGGGTGGTTTGCCCTCAGCACCTTCTCATCAAAATACTACTGTGGAAGCCACGGCAGCCAGCCATCACTGTTTGTTTAGGTATCCTAGAGGAAACTTTCTGTTCTCATTGCAGAGTAACTCAGCTTGACCACTGATGAGTTGGAGCACTACTGAGTAAATGAGCGAGGACAGTGTTTGTTTCTGAGATGTGGGGCTTTTGGATTTCTGGAATAAAATAGGAGTTTGTGGTGTAAGGGACTGCTGCTGAAACCTGGGGCAAATACGAGCTCTCCCCTAAACTTTGCACCGCTTGCTCCGCAGGACAGGCGGGGCCGATGCCCGCTCCGCGGTGATGCCCCGGTGAATTCAGTGTCGGGTCTGGCTGGAGATGAAGCCCCGCCGTTGCAGCCGCCGTTCATCCCTCCAGCCCCGGGACTCCGGTGCGCTGCCCGAGCCCGCTGGCGCGAGGGGCCGGCCCCGGGACCCCCAGGGCACGGCGGAGGGCGGGTTTCTGCCTCCTCCCTCCTCAGGGGGCCGCCCGCGGAGCCCGGCGGCCCGTCCCTCCCTCCCGCCGTCCCTCCCAGGGGCGGGCGGCCGGCCCAGCCGCGGCGGCTCCCCCGGCGAGCAGCCCCGCCGGCCGGCGCCGCCCCTGCAGCCGCCTCCTCCCGGCACACGCGGTGGGGGCGGCCCGGCGGGGACCCTGCGCGCCGCGGCAGCGCCGGAGGGAGCCCGGCGGAGGCGGACGGGCCGCGCGCGGCGGTAAGTCGGAGCCGCGCGCCCCCTCAGCCGGAGCCGCGCGCCCCCTCAGCCGGAGCCGCGCGCCCCCTCAGCCGGAGCCGCGCGCCCCCTCAGCCGGAGCCGCGCGCCCCCTCAGCCGGCGGCGGCCCGAACCCTCCGCGGGGCCGCGGGCTCCTCTACCCTGCTCGGCGCCCGCCCCCTGCGCCCCGTTTCCCCCCTTCAGCCGCCTCCCCCCCCCCCCCCCCCCCCCCGCCGGCTTCCGAGCCGCTTTCACGGTGTTCCCGCTCCCCGTCCCGCCTGCGCCGGGGTTCAGAGGGTGAAGTAGCGCAGCTGTGGAGCCCACCGGGCAGGGACAGCCTCTGGGCAACCCGCGGGGCCGCCCCGCGCCGCCGGTTCTTCCTCAGCGCCGCGGACGAGTCCTGGGGCCAGGAGCTGGGCGGTGGGGTCCCTCCCCGCGGGACAGCGGGGTGGCTGTGGGGCGGCTCTGTCAGAGGTGCTCGGGCTCACGCTGGCCATCCTGTCCGCACGGCGCGTGTAGTGATGTTGGGCACCTCGGCTCTGGGTGCCAGCTGTCCCGCAGCTGTTAGCCAGGGGACAAGGCAGCTCCCCGGGGCACCTCCTCAGTGAGCGGCTGTCACTTACCCCTGCGCGGGGCCCCCGGGGGCTGGGGGATGCGATGGTTTCGGAAGCACCCCACCTTACGTGCTGCTCGGTCTGGCGTCGCTTCAGTCTAGAGCCGCCAGGGCCAGGTGGTCCTGGGGTCACACCTCAGCTTCCTGGTGTCATTCGGCAAACGTCGTGTGACTTCATCGTGTTTATCCGTAAGTTCTTTAATGTTCTTTCCTTCAACCAGCTTCACCTGGGATCTGGTAGGTTTCTCAACACTTGTTCCTTTGAGCAGTCGGGGGTTTTGGGGCGATGCAGCACAGTGAGGGCTGGTTTGGCCTGGCCCGCATCCTTTTAGAGGACAGTCAAGAATGAAGGTGTGAGTGAGGGTGTGGAAATGTGTGGCAATTGCTTCTGCTTTGGCTGATCAGTCACCAGCTGCAAAAGGACCAAAATCGGCACGCTCACCTGCTCAACGCATGGGGAAAAAGCTCAACTCTGACCCTCTCTACAGCTGTCTGTTCTGAAACATTTGTAGGTTTCAGAGTTTTCTATGTCCTTTATTTGCTTGTGCAAGAAATGTAGATTGCACAGGCTAGATCTCGCTTGACTTGAGGGCAGTGATGTGTCTTATCTGCAGTAATAATCCTCAGAGGCGCCTGAGGGACGGGGAGCGAGGCTCTGCGATGCCATGCCAGCGTGCCTGGCATTGCGGGCTTCCCCCTGTGCCCTGTCTGTCGAGGTGTTCGCACCAAGCTCATCGCTCAAGCACGCGAAGGCTTTGGGATCAGTTACAGCGGCAGGCCTGGCACTTAGCTGTCTGCTGGGGAGCCGTAATTAGCTGCAGAGCAAACGCATTCGGTACGTAGGCTTGAGGTGGAGGCTTGGAAATGCAGGCTTTGGTCATTGACCACACACACATGATGACTGCAGAGCAAGGTTGGCAGGTCAGAAGGGGATCCCTTGGGAGTTAGTGGCAGGACCAGTGATTCTGTAATGGGACCGAAGTGGTCAGATGTTGGGTGTGTTTTGTGTCCTTTATAGGCGCGCAGGTAGTAATAGCTGCCTGAATTTTCTGACAGAGAAATTTTTAAGCTACTGTTGTTTTCTGACAGGAAAATATTTAGGTAAAAATAAGGGTTTGCTGAAATTAATGTAACTTATAACTGTGTTTTGACTATCTTTATTTGAAAGCAGAGGATAAAAATTACTTGTTTTTTGCTGTTAGAATGGCTTAGTCTTTTCTAGGACAAAAAAGAGGAGAAAGAAAGGGGATTAGGGTGAAAGAGAAAAACACTTTAATGTTAATAAAAATCTGTTTAGCTTTAATGTTAATAAAAATCTGTTTAGCTTTAGCATAAGGCACCGAAACTAGAAGACAATATCACTTGAGTTTGTTTGGGTTTGATTTTGTTTGTTTGGGTTTTTTTTCCAAATTACTAATTTTAAGCAGTCCGATTTTGATTCTAAATTGTTTTCGTAATTTTTCAGTATTAAAAAACAACTTATAAGGAAAGCGGTTACTTTGGTTTGTTCTCATGTGTTTTGGATTTTGCTTTAGTGTAACTACTGTTTTGTAATACAAAAACATGCCACAAGGGATGCTTCCGAGTTTGGCAAAGGATTTAGTGATCCAGCTCATGTCAGGTGTATTTGAGAAAGTAAGATTATTCAGCTGTTACCTCAGTCACTTGAAACTGGTTTCCTTAGGGTAGAAGATACCCGGAGGAAAAAAAAATGTAAGGCTGATAAAAAGACAAATGATCCAACAGTTTTGTTCTCGCTTCTATTTTCTCTAATCCTACTGTCATTCGGTGGTGAGTAGACATTTATCATGGATTTGACATGTGTGGACCAGTGACTGATTGTCAAATAATTTGGTAATGATGGGCTAATAACTTACCTATGCAGGGAAACCTTTTTTAAAAGAGAGAAATAGAACTTTCTTCTGTTCCTCTCAAGGTGGATTCTGTCACCCTCTTCAGAAGAGTGGATTTCTTAGGGTAAATAAGATCCTATTTTATGGTATGACCGTTTAGGAACATAAAGAGGTGAGGCATGACATGCTTCTAGTGCCTGAAACGGGAATCTGAGAGGTCTGTATTTTATTACTGGTTTTGGTGCAGTTTTGTTGCATGTCTGTAGGAAAAAAAATTTGCGTAGGATAAACAATACTTTGCTACCTTGTGATATGTGTGATATTTGGGCTGTGTAAAGTGGAGTTGGATACAGGAGTACAAAGGTGAAGTGTCATACTTACACTATACATATTCTGTACTATGGCGTATCATTATGAGAACACACTAAGTAATATGAATGCTGAGCAGAAGCTGGCCTTCGTATTGAAATATTCATTGCTATGAATCCTAGAGCAAAGAGACTGCTGGAGAAGAGTTGGCTCCAGCATGAGGTGGTTGAGGAAGAAGCATGGTGTGTTCGGTGTAAGAACACAGAAGGTTATCTCCTCTGCAAAGCTTGTTTTGGAGCTCTCAAAGGTCTGCTCTGCTCCAAAAATCACTGCAGCAGATTCCCTTGTCCTCCTGGTTTTAATGAATTATGGTGCAGACCCTAAGTGAATGGGATGGTCCTGATCCATCGCATTGCAATATTGCTTGGGCACATGCCCCAGAAGCGTTGGCATAAAGAGTGTATTAGAAAATGAAGTTGATGGCTGCTATTTCTTCAGATTATGAATGTACAACTTTTTTGTCTGAATAAGTCAAAAGTGAATGACTGTCTCTAATTCAGTCTGCTTTCACTGACCAGCATTAGGAAATCACCATCTGACAAGAGAAAAAAATGAAGGCTCTCATCCCTCTTTTGATATAATTGTGCTCTATACTGGTAAATGGAGTCCAACAACAACAACATCGTTGCTTAGATCTTTGAATGTAAAATGACCTGAGATCAGTATATCATATCTGGGGAGGGTTGTATTTATGCTGGTGAATGGCATTTTTATTTCAGCTGAATTTTAAGTGTGTGAAGGTTATCTTTTATTACCTATCCCCCTTACGCTGTGTATTTGCTAATGACAATTGTTGTGGATCATCAAGCGTATGATCTATTTTGGGCATCTGCGAACTGTGGCTGTTGGGTGAAAGCCAGGGAGAGAGATCTGCAGAAGTAATGAGAGTGGAAGGCAGTATAAGATAACGTGAAGTGATAGACATGGGAAACACCAGCACATCAGAGGTATGACTGGAGGGTCTGAGCACTTTGGATCAGTTTTGTGTTCAGTCTTCAAAAACAAAGGTCTAGGCTGACTTGGATGCTTGAACGGTTCATTGGTGTTGGGAGTAAGCTTGCTGGTTTGACCTTGGCAGAACAAAGGTGTAAGTTAAAATGTCAGCAAAAGGGATGAGAATTTTCTGTTTTTTTTTGATATAATATTGCATGGATTCTAAGGCTCTGCAGAAGTAGACATGTTCTTTGGGGGTTGCTGGGAAATGTGTAAACTTGTCAATCAAACATAAAGTGGCTGCGTTCCCAGAGGCATCTCGGATGGGTTCCTGATTCTCAGAGCAATCTTTTTACCTTGCTCTTCTGAATGACAAACTCTCTCTTTCTTACAACAATGGTTTTCTTTCAGGTGTGTTTGCATTAATGTTGTTTATAGCCACGTACCTTGTATTCTGATGAAGGGAGTAGTCAGCTTGAGGGATTTACAGTCTTTGGGCAAGTCTCAGCAGTATCTCTTAATACGTGGGCATTTTCTCGTACTCGAATTTTACATCTTGCATCTTGCATCCTGCAATTCAGGATGAGCAAAAGGTTTGGGGTTTTCAGCAAGGCTTGGCTTTGTCCTTTGTTTGAGTTTTCTAAAGTCTGTGGGTGGTGAACTAGGTTTTGCATCACCACTTCAGAAAATCCTCCTCTGAACAATTGCAAGCAACATTATATAAAGTTGGTATATAGCCGATAGCTCAGAGGTGTCCTCATTCTTGTAAACACTACTAAGGCATTTATTAATTGTAGTTTCAAGCCCTGAGCAATACTGGTCAATGAGCTTTTTCTGGGTTTATGAAAGGTTGCTTGACGTATACAATAATTTTCTTACAAAGCAGAATTTGAGTTGTTGGCTTTTATTGAGAGGAAAACCAGACATTTTTGTCCAAGGCATGAGTGTGGCTTTGGGAAGGGAGTTAATGAGCAAAGCAGCAGAAATATTTACCTGGCTTCATCTTGAAAAACTCTGAAAATATAGGCAAAGTAAGGATTGGGCAGAGAAAGTGTGAGGATGGAAAGTGGAAGTGAAAGAAACCAACCCACATTGTAATGTATCTAGATGAGGCTCCTGCAAGGGTTGATTTCTACAGTATACTTCAATAGTGCTATGGTTATTCTGGTCTTCAGTGTCACAACCTGTGTAGTTTCTATCATTTGCCTTGGGTATCTGGGTAAGAGAGATCATCACTAGAGCACGGTTGTATGGGGAGGTGTGGAAGGCGAATTTGTCTCCATTGCAGAGTTTTGAAACTGGGGTTTGAAGAGGCTTGTTAATGAAAACGCAGTAGGCCTCGCAGAGCCTGTAAGAGAGCCATCACATCTGCAGTGTAAACCTCCAGCAAGGCTGCTATTGAGGGCACGAATGCTATTGCTAGGGTTACCTTGCACCTCCCTCTCCTCCACGGGGTGCCTGCAAGTGTCTGTCATGCAGTGGAAGTGCTGACTTCTGGCATGTGACAGAAATAGATGTGGTTTGGTCACGTGACAGATGCACGCCAGTCGTGGCACATCACGATATGCATCTCTCCCATGAGCTGTGCAGATACACACCCTTCAAAAAGGAAAGGATGCAGTTTTGATGCGTAGCTGAAGTGTTTCCCATCATTAATAACAGTGAAGCTGTGGGTCCCCTGGGGAGAGGGAGTGGGGCTTGCCAGAATAATGCATGTGCCCTGTGTCTGCTCCTCCATCTTGGAGGAAAAAGTGGAGAGGAGAGCAGGCTGTAGGCTGGGTGTGGGCTGTTAGAAGCTCCCCACCTAGTGAGTATATTGTTAAAGGGAAAGGAGTGAAAGGAAATGAATGGTCACAAAATCCCCCTGGATCTCCCTGTGCTTTGGAAACGGCAATTCAAAAGGATGGACTGCACGGAGATGTTAAGCGTATGATGAGAGCCATCATGGAATTAGGCAAAAATGTGTCACTGGAGGGTGGAAGCAGGTACTGCTTCTCAGTTTGTGTGTTGCGTAACTGGTGCTGAGCCCCTAATGGAGGACGTGTGAATTTGCTGGTACCCCTTTACTTACTGCTACTGAGTGAATGTTATTCCCAACTAATGTAAGTGCAAGCATTGATGCAGTAGCCCTTCTGCTTGAAATAAAGCAGTCAAATAATTTTTGTCCTAATGTGTAGGTTTAGCTAACATCAGCCAAAAAATATATGTAGAAGCACTAAGAGACTATTTCTGTTCCTTTGAAGCAATAGAAGGAGCATATTTGGAAAGGAATTGAATTGATACTCAGCGTGCTTCCCATGTGTTAGAAGCCAATGATTTATGAAAAGGGAGGGGGAAAACAGAGCGGCCAGTCTTTATTTTGAGGTGAGTACATGAAAAAAGCTGTGTGCATTTTGACAAGTTGTTAGATTTTTTTACGATGTTTTTGCTGCTTCTGGTGTATGCTTTTGTTAGAGAAAAATCTTAAAAAATATGCACATTTCAACTTGGCAGGAACCCTGGAATTGCTCTTTGTACTGTTTTATAAGTTGTCTGCTGATTTATCAAAATAGCTGGGTCTTCTTGCAACATGGAATTGAGCTTGTTTCTAAAGGATCAAAATAGAGTGGTGTTTGCTTGAGAAATATGCTTCACAGTGTGCCACAGTCAGATGCCGGAGACTGCTATTTAAAAACATGCAGGAGCTATATAGAAATATAGAAACTGGAAGTCCCCAGTGCATCTGAAGCAAGCTGCATCTGGGATTCATCAGGGAATGTACATTACATTGAGAAGTACAGATATACTGTTGAAGCCTAGAGATGTGTGGGAATAACTGTATGGCTCAATGTAATTAGGTTTTTATTGCGATGCTTAGAGACCTTACAGCTATTTTACACATTCTAATCTAAATAGTGGATGTTGTTTGGGCCGTTGGGGTTAATGCTAGTATTCATCTACACAGTAAACTCCATATATGTTGTAAACCGGTCAGTTGGTTACTGTGTTAAAATCCCTTCTGTTAATGTAAGTTAAGTTGCTGTGTGGGTATATCCTGAGGAATAATGTGATCTCTGATCTTCTTACCTTCCAAAAGCAGTGCAGCGTAATGCACTCCCAGATGCTCAAATGCACCAATATGGGGCTTGTCTTTCCAGATCTCACAGAGCTTACCGATTTAAGATTGTGTTCAGGAAACGAATTTCACAGTTGCACAGATTAAGGCATGCAACAAATGCTGCTCATGCTTTTCTCCTTTGAAACGTCTAGTGTGTGATGAAAGGAGTTGCAGCAAAAACTCTGTAAATGGAATCCCAGTGCCCTTTTGCAGCAGTGGTTCAGATTTCCGTTTGCTGTCTTGCCTGCATGCCTCAGAAGCACTGCTTGACATAAGAAAAAGAAAGCTCTGCCTTGTGGTCTCCTTGGTTCATCATCTGCCTGATGACACTTTAGTGGGGAAGCCTGTAATGCTGATTCTCATGCTAGCTCTCTTTAGCGTAGTGTGGATGCTTTACTGTCCATTAGTTTGTCAAACTATTAATTAGTTGCTTTACTTCTGTCACGTTTATGTTTCAAGATGTGTTCTGTGCTTCTGGTCAAGTATGTGGTCAGGTATTTCAATGAGGGGCAAGAACCCTCTCTTCTTATAGGTGCTGATCTCTTTCCAGACTGGACCCTCACTATCTGGCTGAGACTGCTAAATTAATTCTTTTGATTGATCAGTGGCAATTTTGGCCACAAATGAGCTGCAATGGGTCCGAAGTGACTATACGAGAAATATGTTTTACTGATTCTTTGTCTGTTGGAAGATAATAACAAATGTTATTCTTTCTTAATATTCTAGTTGCATCATCTTTGTGCATCAATGAGAGGTCCAAGTATGGCTTTGTTCAAGCAACAGAAGGTGGAGGACGTTTACGAAATTGGGGAAGAGCTGGGAAGGTAAGTTTGTACTCATGACATCATGCACATGTAAAAGTTGACACATGGGAATATTTGCCACATCTTAAAGCGACTCTTCCTGATAGCCTAAATCAGTTGCAATGTACAAAAATAGAAACACATCCATTTACAAAAACTGCACCAGAGATTGTTTTTTTTAATTAGGTTAAGTGTGCTAACTATTTTTCCTGTTTCTTTTCTTGCAGCTAGGGCAACATAAGGTATGTTTACATTGTCTTTTGTAGATAGGTGTCATCTGTGTCTGTGCTTTAGCCAGAGCTCAATTGTTCGTTGTCTGAACCACCTAGGAAACAGGAACCCATGGTGCTGTCGTCATAGATGCAGTGCTTTAATTTGCCTTGTTGTTTTGAACAGTGCTGCACAGCACTGTTGCTTCCAGCTGGCTCTGAGCACTGGCAGAACACATTCATATCTGCCTGCAAAACACAGTGTATGTATTCCTGAAAAGAATTTCCTGTCATAATTTCAGCTGCACTGGTTAATACCTGCATATAGCTTTTAATCTATAAAGGCTTATCTGCAAATATTAATTATAGGTGGAGTTAATGGTTTATTACCATGCTTAACCATAAGCACCTGCTTAAACACTGCTGGGTTTGTGAGCTGGATGACACAGGGCTCCCCCAGTCACTTAGCAACATACAGTGCTCTGGGTGAGGATGGCTGGTTTCCATTCAGTGTCCAACCCTCCAATGATTTTTTTTGATATGCAGATAGATAAATTAGGGCTATACACATGTTGGCTTTCTTCCCAACGTCTGGCAGTTGGTTTTGATAAATGACTGTGTATGTGCAATTACCCTTTTTCAAGAGCCAATAATTTAGTTACATTAAAACACTTCAGTTGAAGCTGTTTCCCTGCTGAATCTTTTTTTTTTTTTTTTTTTTTTTCACTCCCAGCAATTTCATCTTTAGAGTTGTTGAGATTTCTTTTAAGGGAGATTTTTTTGGGGGGGTTGGGTTCTAGGGTTTTTTTCATTGCCTTCCCACTCAGGAAGGCCTCAACTACTAAATTATCTGTAACTGCTTACTTTTGAGTATTGACAGGTCTTGACAACATCAGCCTGAAAGTGAAAATTTGACAACAGTGAGCAGTAAAGAAATTCAGTGTGTGGATGGAGGGAGCAAAAGCTGTGCCTTTTTTTAGTGTAGGAGGCCCTAGTACATGCTGTAACAGTCAAACTGCTAAAATGAGAAACTGGAAACTGAGTAGCATATTTTTACTTTGGTGCCTGAACTGGATTTGGAAATCAGGTTTCTTTTGAGATGATGACCCTTACTATCCTTGTCACGCCAATGGTTATGAGGCCTTCTGAATGGAGAAGTGCAGTTGAAACAACCTGGTAAAGGCTGGTCATTGCGGTTTGAATCTGCCTGAGGGGCCTCAGGCTGGCAAAGGCTTGCGTGGTCACAGCAGCCCTCCTTTCCTGGCTGCACATCCCAGGGTTATGCGATGGAGCTGGTACTTGCTACATTTTCGGTGATGGGCTGGGTTTAGAGGAGACTACACTGAGACGTGGAATCTGAAATTATTATTGTTTTCAATGGGTGCATTCTCTGCAAGAAAGACCTCTTCTAGATAAGTCAAAAGGAGGAGTAGGTGTATACATGAGCAAGTGCCATCCTCACATGAGAAAGGAGTATTAAACTCCACTACAAAATCATGTTCTAGTTCCCAGCATTTTATGTGTAATACTTCTTGTGGATGAGAAATGCAAGTCTACTTGGTACTGAGGTCTGTAGGCAGAAATGTTCCCTGAAAGACCTGAAACAAACAGGCAGATTGTAACAAGCAGACCTCTGCTGTTTGTTATGATTTTTCAAGGAAAGCCCTGTAATTGTGAACTGTGAGAAGAGGGCATCAAGATTGGATTTATCTCCCTTACTCTGAATGTGTTCAAACTGTCTACTTTACACATCCCCATGAAAATAATGTCACGCTGTCTTTGTCAGTGTGTTTTCACCTTCAGATTTTGCAAGGAGCTCTGCAGATTTTGTTTCAACTGTGTGTTGCATGTGGAGTGTCACTGCATTATCGTGCCTCTGTACCTCTGAGCAGTAACTACTGATTAGGGCTAGTGAAAAATAGTATCCTGCCTTTTTGGAAGAAAAATAATACGCTAGGCAGGTTGTGGTGACTGAAATGCAAGAATCTTCCAGTGTTGACTGATGCCCTTAGAACCTGTAGATGCCTTTTATTAGTTCATTATGTTTGCAACAAGCTGTTAGTTGCTGACAGGTACAGGCAGGTAAGAGGATTAATTTATTATCATATTGGCAACAGAAGTCACTCACAAAACAAAGGTTTTCAAACAGCATCTGTGAAGAGTCTGTCCCATTCATGTCCTCCTAACTGAGTCTGTGACTTCGTGAGAACAAAAGTAGTCATTAATACATGCGTAATGCTTGTTCTAGCTTGGATTCGGTCAGAAGTTAAAATACAGGATCTCACCGACAGAGCCAGCACCTGCTCATCTGAAAGTCTTTGCACAGCACTTAGGAAAGGAGGCTCCTATTACACACTGCAAGTGCTCCTTCGCAAGACTTTGATATATCTGGTCTAGTGATGAAATTAGACCCTTCCTGTCATTGTGCAGCAGTGAAAGTGGCTGCAGAAAAGGCTCTTCAGATGCAGCTGAATAAAACCCTGCAAATGGTGCATCTGTGGACTCCTCAACCAGATCATTCTCAGAGTCACTGCTGAGCTAGAAGCAACTCTAAGGATGCTGAAAATGCAATTGTCTCCTGTGCCAAGGCAATGGTGTGAGAGAAAACTCTTTGCAGAAAGGGGGAGCAGGTTTTCTGTAGCTGCAGCTGTGTGCTGTAACTAGCTGCCTAGCTCCAACATTCCCTCAGTCTTTCGAATATTAATCTTAGGTTTACACCTCTGTTGCTCAATTTCTCCAAAGGGTACATCCAGGGAACAACAAGTCAGGCATGTGGCATTAGAGAAAATAAGATGCTGATGGGCTTATTCGTTCTGGCAGCTATACTTGGGAAGCTTAGCATGGCCTATGCTGAATGTGTGCAATACTTTATTATCATATATGTATATTTAATGTTACTTCCTGCAAGATAGTATCAGTTGGTTTGTAAATGTGAAGTCTGTGGGGACTGAGGTTTTCAGCAATAGCTGAAAGGGTGTCTAAAAAGAGGAGGAGCCTCTAGAGTGAATTTAGCAAATGTCAACATTTTAAAATAAAAAAGGAGCCCTTTTGAGATCTATAATACAACTTACTGCTAAAATATTAAAATATTATTTTTTTTTCTTTTTAAAAATTTGTAACAAGGGGAGAGTTTAGAAAACTTAACTGAAGAAGAATACATTATAGGGATATTTATTCTAGAAGTCCCCTGTTATACCAGTTAGTCTGAAGTCTAGAAGAGCTAGAAATCAATGCCATATAAAGTCATCAGTGCTTGCAGAGGTATTAGAAGATTCTCTTCTCTTTTTGCTTCTCCCAAGGGTAGTTGACTGTGTGATTTGGGAATACTTTATAGAGTCCTCTCAGGAATTTAATGCTCTCAGTCCTTGAAGGCATCAGACTTTCTGGCAGATTCAGTTTCTTTCTGTGTCTGAGCAGTTGATCAGAAATGGATACTTCAAAAAATTATTTTCTGTAGAATGTTTTCAAAATGTATCCCTCCATAAATATGAGTTTATATTGTTAAATGTCACTTGTATACAAGTAATGGCAAACTGCATCCTTTACCATTGATTTTAATAAACTTTGTAAGAAACCTATTAACAGTTTTGCCTGCTGCAAGGAGCATTCTGGCATAAGCCATTTGCAGGAGTGTTTGTAGCAGATCGCTCTATTGGCATGAGAAATCCCTGGAAATAATTCTTGGAAAATGTGAGGAAGTGAAGGCTAACTTGACTTCTTGGGAATATGCAGCAGGTCAAATAACTGTTGGTTCTTGTGGCAAGGGAGCTGGCAGCATAAGACAACCAAGAATGGAAACTCTTAAATTGCAGCCAAAACAGGCCAAGAAAAGGAAGAACTGTCCTACTGAGCTAGTGGTATGGTTCCCAGGAAAGTGGCAGCAATAAAGCTCTCTGGAGAGCCTTTTAACAAAATGTTTCAAGACTTCTTGTGATTTGGATGGGTAGTTCTGTCTAGTTGCACAAAAGGAGTTATTGTACAAGCCTGCAGGAGCCTTTTCTAGTTGTACTAGCGAACACTGACAGTGGTGGTAGGTGCACAGACGGTGCTAGAATTTCAGAGATGTGCCATGTAATTTATAAAAGGTTGTACCATGGAGTCGTTAATCTATTACCTAAATGTGTTGCCAGCCAGGCTGTAGAGAGCTGTTGATATTTGTGCCTTCTGGACAGTGTCACTGTTACATGTCAAGCCTGGGCTGATGGTAGGAAGTGTCACGGAGCTTGTCTGGAAGTGTTTCATGGCAGTGCCTGTTGAGAAAGTGTGTTCCTGCAGGGTGGTGCAGTGTCCTGAGACAGTGTTCTGTTCACTGCAGCTCAGCTCTCGGCAACGTACAAGGACTTAGGTCATGCTTAACAGAGACAAAAGTTGGAGTGATGTTTCTGGGTGAGGAAGCCTCCCCCCTTCCTTCATTTCTTCCCCCTTTCCTTTCACTGTAGGGAAGGGGCTCTGCCTTCCTCCACATGTGCCAGCCCTGCCATTCCAGCTTATTGCCTGTCTCAGTGACTGGGAGCTGTGTTCATCTCTAGCCTCAACTTTTTCCAGCTTTTGTCTGGTTTTGCTATGTTTTCTGCAGAGGTAGGAGATCTTGTATGGTTAAGAGATGCCTAGTCTGATGAATTGATCATAGGAAATCAAAACTAAGTCTTTCAGTTTGTGTGAGAAACTGGAAAAGTATTTTGTTGACTTTCTAGTTTGAAATCCTCTCTTTTGGGAAAGACAAGACAGTTTGTTGCTGATACAACATGGTGGCCTCTGTGGAAGGCAGATGGGCATGTCTTGAAAATTTTAAGAGTTTTTCTTCTGACAAGA